CAACTAATTTGACGAATCTACAGACTAGTTGATAATAATTTCGTCGAAAAGAAAATTTCCTTCGCTGCAATTGTCTTTTCTATTACTCCGTGATCTGATTTGGTCTCATACGCTATCCAGATGTATTCTGTAGAGTGCAACAAGTCTTTTATTATTCCTTTACGTTCTCAGTGGAATATAGGTATTCAAGCTAGAGGCTAATTAGTAAGTGTGTTTAAAGTGGATAACGAAGACTAATAACCGCGTATTATGAATACACGATACACAGTTTATCACCTTGTGGAATGATACAGGTCCGTATTTCATAGTATTCTGGAATATACTGTTTATTCAAGTAATATTGATATCGCTGACCTTTTTGACTAATAACTGAAGTATTCGAATATTTTGTATTTTTACACTGATTCATTTAACAGTATATGCATGTGAGAAGAAAACACGATAGATAATGACGTCATTTTATCCTTCTCAACGTGTTCTTCTTCTTATTATTATTCCTGTTTTATTCAATATTACACTCGAATTTCGTACATAATCGTATGATTAGTACAAGTTTATTTGACCCCTTTCATGCACGACAGACTTGTGTTCGAACAATCTTATTTTTCTGTTAGATAACTAATTGACACTAGTTTTAGAATTTTTGAAATCCAGGTGGTACTGAACAGTGAGTTCGTCGTAGATTTTAATCCTAAGCAGTAAGCATGTATCAGAGAACTTTATCCTGAGATGTTATGATTTCTGAAGAAGCTCAGAAATGATAAATCGCCAGGCAGAGAAATCCATTTTGATTCCAACATACAATGGATGGCAGGAAATTCGATTCTCCCAGGTCAAAAATCAATATTCTGTACCAAATGTTTGCTCGTATTCTTTCGCCTTCTTCTAACCTGTAGATGATGGAATCACTTTCGCCCTCAAGTTGATCGCAAACGGCGACCAGTGCGAATAAACAAGCGTTCAATATTCATAATCACTGATAGCAAGCATCAACGCCCCTGATCCGTATCCAGGACCTGTATGTGATTCGGAGATCATGTCAACCATTTGGCTACAAGGACACAATCCAATGGCCCATCAGTTCTAAATTCTGAAGAATGGTGATGTATCAGAGAACCAAATGACTTTTTCTAAGGATTTCATGTTATTCAAGTGTTGGTTGGCCGGAATTCGTTTGGTTACAGGATTCATCATGAGGTCATATTGGTTACAGAACCAGTGGAAAACCTAAGAGTACTGAAGTGCTATTTTGTCCTGATTTGAGACTGTTCTCAGTACTCACTCACCCACACACGGGTTCGAACCCAACACCTTCCATTTACAAGGCGGTGAGCTCGTAGGCAATTTAGCCACTGACATCCGATCAAATATCCACCCCCATCAACTCCAACTTCCACCAATTCATGATATAGCACAAAAACAAATTAATTTAAGAAATTACTTTCAGGTGAGCACTGATGATGGCAGAACTTATTTTCACTGCTTTAAAAATGTAGTGTAAATTAGGGGAAACATGAAACGTACACTGATATCACACTTCACATACATTTCATACCTTGCTTGTCAGTTTCTTCCTGGGTCGCTGTAAGGATTCTCATCATTACCACAGCGTTTCTTCTTCATCGTCTTACACAATGACACATTACTTTTGTTTTCTCCTGAATTGCATCAAATATATTACTCAAATTTGTTTAAAACACTACAAAATCATTTACTGCCATAGAAACCAAAACTTTGTGGATAATTATCCATATGTGTATTAAGATGTAAGCTGCTAAAGTCTCTTTGTACTACGCTGCCCACAGTCCAGAACTTGCTTATGCAGTAAAGCGAAAATCGCGAATACACGAAAAAGCGAAATACATGTCACCTATATTTGCACGAACAGTAAGAACACAGTGATATTGATGTAATTAAGGTTGTTATGAGATAATATCTTTTACTGGAGTTTTCCCATTCATCAAACACTATGCTAAAACGTTTATCATCAAACAAACGCTTCGAAAAATTAGAGAATCGAATTCTTGTCAAGTGTAGTTAAAACAGGAATTGTGTGAAGTCAAAATCTTATCACCACACTTCACTAATTATATCAGTGAAAACCTGTGTCCGCTAGAGAAAATATCTTATACATCAATAGCCTTACAAACAGAAAAACACAATACTAAGCTACTAAGTAAAAAGTATAACCACTTTCAGTAACTTGGAATCATCAATGGGTAAAGCATTCCTAAATGCTGACAGCCAGGTCCCATCCTCTGCTGACGTTCCGCCTAACCTCTCTTAGCAGGTAGTGAGGCTAGTAAAGAGTAAGAGGAATTGAGACTGGCAGCGTCACAGCAGATGCGACATTATAACTCGGGCTAGAGGCCTTATGTTCCACATGGAGTGAGAGGTAATAAAAGAAATCACAGAAGCCGAAAATACTGATGTTAAATGAATGGTAATTTTGTAGCAACCATACCAATAGTTGGAGATAACCATTTCGTAGGAAATACTACTGAAATAAACAGTATGTGATAGTCATCTTAGGCTTCTCCTCAAAGTACCTGTAATGCTCAGAAGTAATTTTCGCCCTTTCACCTGCAGAGTATGAAATCGCCTATCAATAGTGATCTCAAAATTATACAGTCTCAGAGTTATAGCTGAAAAGCCATGACAATAATTAAACCTGCTCAGATAATTTTAATCTATGATGTAGAAAGTCTTACTGAATTGACTGCTTTTGTCATCAACATTTAAAAGTTATTTTCTGAAACATAATTGAAACGACAAGTAATTCATTCATGAAGCCTCTTGGTGAGCGTTACGTCTAATGATCATGAGACCAGGTACATAGGAGAAAGAATGAATTTCAATAATTCGTGGAGGAGAGAAATGACTGCATTTCAAAGTAAAATTTCACCATGAACTACATGAGATCTTGAAATTCTTGTCCAATATCTCTCTTTCCTCTCAATAAAACACTCGAAAATCCTCGAATATAGTAAAATACACACTTCATACTGAACTCCAAAATCATTGAAGAGAATAAACCGAAATCCTTTTCACCATTTTGTCAGCTGTTTACAATACGAACAATGAAAGTTAATAGGTTCATCGTAATTTCAATTTTAGTGTAGTTCATTAATGAAACAAGTGTCAATCAATCATCAGGGTAGTCATGGTGGATACATGAATTGGCACGCCAAGAATTATTATTATTATTATTGTATCCTTTAGTTCCTAGAGGAACATAGGGCTTCAGCTGCACACCTCCATTGCCTTCTGTTTTCTGACAACTTCTTCATCCCGCTCCACGTCTGTCCACATGCTTTCATCTCCTCCTCGCATGACCTCATCCAAGTCACCCTTGCACTGACGACCAACTCGCCGCCTCCCTTTCGGGTTCCACTCGAGCGATGGCTTGTCTAGTGATGTCACTTGCTGGTCTCCTCAGAGTATGGCCAGCCAATCCATTTCCATTTCTTCCTGCCTATTTGGAACGCCAAGAAAGGGAAAATTATATTGAAGAACTGTAGCAATTACATATGTAATACAACACAATAGAGGCTGATCGAGTATAGATAGAGATGTAAATCGTTAACTATAATGAAGATATTTGGTGAGAAAAATCAGAGAAATCAGGCGTAAGAAACAAGATAGGCAATGATGTAATTCATTAGACAACTGTCAGTGATATTCAGTCATGAAACCATTCAAGTAACTAACGCCTGTTTCTTTTCAATGTTATTTCACAAAACTCAAATTCTCATGTTCTGTTTCTTGCAAGCTTACAATTATTCAAAACTGTAGTATTTACATCAACATGTGGTTTCCAGTCATATATCTGTTATATAGTATTTGAGAAATACTGAAAACAGGTATTTCATTGTGCACACATCACAGCATTAAAAGTTACACTTCAACATAACATATGTTATGCTCTATGTTTTGCTCTACTGAGTCTGTCAGGTCCTTAAGTGTTGATAGAGATTTTCTGCGAGTCAAGTGGTTGGTTGATGTAAATTCCACTGTAATTTCAAGCTCATTAAGAATGTTACGTGGAGTTTGTGATGTTCCCATCCGACAGACACACTCCTCAACCTCACTCAGCCAATAAGCAGGAAAGCCCAGAAAACAGTCAAGGTCTATTATGCAACCAACCAAAACACCTGAGAAAAACAACTAGCCATTTGCGTGTTCTCCTAATCATGGTAAATGAGAGACGGAAAGAGGAGAACAGGAGAGCTTGTTGTCTGTCTGTCCCTAATCATTTCTCATCGATTAAATGATGACCACGAAATTGGTCTAAAATTGGGCTGCAATCATAAGCTCAGTTCGGATAGGTGAGTGGGTGGGTGGGAAGAAGACCATGCTAGCTGATTGGTCCACTCACCAAATGACCTAATACTAATCAACCAATCTGAATGCTCACCTGTGACCAACAATACGTATCCACTGACCTTGGCCTTTTGGTTACCCCACCCCTCAACTGCTAGCTGAGTCAGCGAATTGTTTAAAACTTGACATATGCGTGGGTCAGAATGAGAGGGGACACAGACAAGTCTTATTTGTCTTTTGGACCCCCAATTATTTTAGGGCATTCAGTCAATTCAAATTTTGCACCAATCGTATCAAGGCGAAATGAATGTAGCTTATTGACCCGCGTAGGCGATGCACTTTGTAGACAAAAATCAATTGTAATTTATTGTGAATGGAAGTTTCGCCTCTCGAGTCGGATAGTTATTCTCTCGTTTTCAAGCGATATCTGCTAGTTGTTGGTCTATTTTGGAATAAAATATTCTCGGATATATCGATAGATTTACTTTGTGTTTAGCGACGACATTTGCGATTTATTCTCTCCATCGACTCACATACAACACATCCTCCTCTTCCGAATACAATTATTTTTCTCCTCTCTCTCATCTTCGCGAACAAGAAGAGGAAGAAGAAGAAGGAGAAACATGCTACATAGACTCAGGCTCACCCAAGCGTCAAGGAGATTGTCTAAAATTTCTATGTCATCTACACAGAATTCATGGAAATCGATGAAATCAGAAGGTGCAATACTCACACGTCTTCTTCACTCTCCATCCAATTATCTTCACCATCAAGTGGTTGATAATGATGAAATTGTGATTGTTCAGCCTACAGATCGAGAAGAAGATGGTCGAAGGGGAGAAGAAGAAGAGGAGAGAGAGAAACAGACGTCAATCACAATCGAAGTAGGAGAAGATGTTGGGGAGGAGTTGACCGATGAAGATGGTGAAATGATAACAATTCAACCCTCACCCTCGATATCTTCTACAAATTCCACTTCGACATCACATCTAGTCAATACACTTGTCAATTCTACGTTGAATGAAATTCCTGTCAGATTCCTGACGACACAGTCATCTTCTAAGCCTGTTAATATCCTACCAGTGAATGATACTTCACAAACTTTATCAACAAGTACACGAGGACGTGGTGCTCCACCTCCAAGTCTATCATTCCGACCGATATTACCAGCTGAGAGTACCCGCTCAACAAGTCTACGAAATCCATGTATTGTCTCCAACTCCACTTTACCCACACTTTGGTTACGTTCATCTGACACGAATACGACAATCGGTATTACCGTTCCAGGAGGTGTGCGTAGTCATACTGACCTGACGAGTGTTCTAGCTCAGAGTGCAGCTGTAATGAATTGTTCAACGAGGAATATTATTAATCGATCTCCTGGAGCTATATGCTGCACACCATCTGTCCCTGAGAATACCACAGACGATAACAGTGGGAATAATGCCATCAATAATACTGCCCCTGGTATTATTAGCTGTGATAGCAATAGTAGTGGTAGTAGTGGTGTTTGTGTTGATGGTGGTATAAAAATTCCTACGACTTCAGTATTACCGAATTTATCACGTGAATCATCAGGTGGCGATTATTTAATTCTCGATGTCAATACTAACACACAACAAACACTGAATGGAATTCCCCATCCTGGAGCTTCATTCAATACAAAATCTGTGAATGAGCTGCACAGATATCAGTGTGCATATCCTGACTGTGTTGAAGTCTACTCAAATGTGCATAGACAGAAAGAATCTGTTGAATGGGATAATGGTAAAAGACGGTATGTTTGCAGAGAGCGTGATTGTGGTGCCGCATTTGTTCGATTCTATGTGGCAAAACTCCATGCGTTAACTCATAGAGTTGATCGTAAAATTTCCACACGACTCTCAGAATATACTGTATATGTGCAGCATCTTATGAATGAAGAATTCTGGTGTGGGTGGTGAGCGGACAGTTGTCAGTCCACGAAACTTAGGTCCAACAATTCCCACCAACACCACCACAATCACCATCACCTCAACAGCAACAACAACAACAACTACAAGTACAATAAACATCCCTTCACCAATTACTCTCCTGAAGTCACCTAGTCAATTCAGTAAGCATATCGAAACATGCAAATGTCGTAAATGTCGTTGGCTCCCACACGCGCGTCCACCAAATTCGAAACCTTCACCTCGAATACCTCCTATTACGCATATCAATGGGAAAAATTGTATTGCCTTTCCACGCTCATGTCCATGGAAAACATGTAGTAAGATATATGGAAGTTTCAGAGATTTAATTCACCATATTTATCGGCATACTGGTGAACGACCATTTGTCTGTGATGAATGTGAAAGAACATTTATACGAAAGCGTGATCTACTGAGGCATCGTAATGATCATTCAAGAGGTGGAGAACAGCCAAGATCTTTGTTTCGAATTTCAGACTCCTTCACAGGCAACAAGTCAACGAGTTGAACCTACTACTCTCTCAGATAACTCCAGGATTACCGATATTACTAATAGCGCTACTTCTACGTCAACAGAACAATGAGAACACGAATGTCCTTCGCGTGATGATGACTACCACCACTATCCCTGACACTGATGTTGATTCCATTCCTACTGCTCCTGCATCCGTCTCTCCTCCTTCACTAGTGCTAATGGGGACAGTCTCCCAACTTCTCGAAGGCTTCCACGAACATCTGTAAGTGATACAGTGAAGAAACTCATGCATCGTATGTCATCAAACAGTACGATAACGGGCTGAATCAATCTACTGATAACATTTCATTTTCAATACTTCATTGTTTTAATTAATCAGAGTAATAATAACAACAACAACAACAATAACAATCACATTAACAGAAACATCAATCATTCAGTCTATCACTCCACTGGTTCACAAAGAGTATTACGCAACAACCAACAGCTTGTATACGCTTGAGTGATGGCTTGGTAACAGTATTAGAAGTAGTTGATGTTGTTGTTGTTGACACTTTTCTCCGAACCACTTTCCAACTTCACTCATCAAGATTTGTCAATTGTCAAAGACATTGTTTCTCTTCTCTCTCACACACACACACTCTCACGCTCCTGCCTCCTCTCTTTCACTCACTCACTCAGTGTCGCTGTCTGTCATTCACGCTTGTTTGAAATAATTTCAATGATTTTTCGTTGTTATTCTTGATGTTCTGTTTCCGGATAACTTCGATGACGGGAGAATCACTCGCCGCCTCTACACCTTATTATATTTCTTTCTTATTTTCAATGCACTCAAAATGTCAGTGTACACATACACGTATATACTTTGTACTGAATATATATGTATGTATATTCATGTTGTTCTGTTCTACTGCTTGTTGAACGCTGAAGTGAATCCTGCTTGTTTAACGCTGCCTTAGCCTAAGCCTAAGACTCAGACTAAGCCTGACTCAGCCTTAGTCTGAGCCGCCTATTGATGATTTGGATATGATTGGTCAATTTTCGAAAGCACGGATGCGTTTGATTTCCATTGAATCCTCTAGTCACATGTTGGTTGACCTTGTGAGTGTGAGTGGATATGTAGGACTATTTTAATGTTAATGGTTAGCTGAGAAGTAATTGTGTAAACATATTGGTAGACACACATCGGTAATCAAACAGGATGAAGTGGATCCGACTTATCTCGTTTGTGGTTCCTGCCGACTGTTTTCAATCTGGAGGATGAAATTCGAATTGAGATTTTCAATTAGGGCCCCACCTAGTGTCGTCTCCAAACTTTCTCACTCAATCAGGTATTTCGAATAGTGTTTCTGTGAATCTGTGATAAGCCTATTTCGCTGTGATAGTGGTGATTAGTAGCTGGTTGTGTTCCGCTGCATGATTGGAGGTGGATGGGGACAGTCGTTGCAAGCCACCTAATAAATGATTGATTGGCGTATGGTCAAATAGCTCCGGATTTATTATGGTAGTTGAGTAAGTGGTGAGTCGGTTGATTGTACTCACTCATCTGAGCAGCTCGTCAACGTATATGGCCACTCTACTTTCTTCCTTCCTTCTTTCCTGCCTGCCTGCCTTCTTTGTGGTCCCTGTATCGCATAATCTGAAGAATATCGTTACTGCTAACGTACTCGTCGAAAATAGTTGAGGTTACCCAGGTTTCCGTCAGTGTTATTATTATTATTCTAATTACCTCTGCCAGATACTAGCTTTCTAGGCTACTAGCTTACTAGTTTTCTCGCCGGTCCCAAGCTGGGTAAAGAGGGAGTGTTGGGGCATGTTGCTAGCAGCTCCACCCCCAAAACTTGACCAAATCGCTACAGAAACTTCAACGAATATATATATTAAAAATTCTAAAAAGATAAGCAATAGCCTTACTTTTCGCTGGAATCGGGGAAGTGAAATGACGCAGGCCGGTGAAAGCCTTCGGGAAGCCAGTCAGCCGATGTGCCTTCTTTCGATGAAAGCAAAAGTAAGGATGGCTACCTGAATGTTCGCACAATGTACGAAACTGGAAAGGCTGCCCAGATAGCCGCTGAAATGAGAAGGTACAGAATAGAAGTGTTGGGAATCTGCGAAAGCAGATGGAACGGAACTGGAAGGTGCCAACTACCTACTGGAGAGACAGTAATCTATTTCGGCCACCTAGAGGACAACCATGAGCACACCAAGGGAGTGGCCATCATGATGTCACCAACAGCAGCCAAAGCTCTCATGCAGTGGAAACCAATCTCCTCCAGGATAATGACAGCCATGTTCACCTCAAAAGGAAGGAAAGTTACAGTCATTCAATGTTGTGCGCCTACAAACGTCTCAGAACAAGAGAAGGAGGAGGCGTTCTACAGACAACTACAAGCAATAATGGAAAACGTCCCAAATGGCGATATCAAAATCCTGATGGGCGACATGAATGCGAAGCTGGGAGGAGACAACACAGGAAGAGAACTCGCCATGGGTCGTGAGGCCCTCGGTGAAATGAACGACAATGGTGAACTCTTCTCAGACTTCTGCGCCTTCAATGATTTGGTGATTGGCGGTAGTGTGTTCAAACACAAGGATATACACAAGACGACATGGATTTCACCAGATGGAAACACCAAAAACAAATAGACTTCATCTCAATTTCAAGAAAGTGGAGACGGAGCCTACTGGATACAAGGTCAAGGAGAGGAGCAGATGTGGGTTCAGACCACTATCTAGTACAAGGGACTTTCAAGGTGAAACTAAAAGCCTCGAGGATAGCTGGGGATAGGCCACAATGCAAGTTCAACACACTATTACTGAAGGACACAACCACAAAAGACACCTTCACTGCAACTGTCAGAGCAAAGCAGGAAACACTACGCGACAGCACTGAAGAATCATGCGTGGAAGAACATTGGAAGTCTCTGAAGGCGATTCTCAACGAAACGTGTTCAACGGTTCTAGGAAGAAAGAAGAGACAAGACAAGGAATGGCTCTCAACGGACACTTGGAAATTAATAGAAGAGAGGAGAATGGTGGAAGAGAAAATGATTCAGTGCAAGGACGGACAGGAGAAAGAGACGATGAGTTCAACTTACAAAGCATTGGACAAAGAAGTGAAGAAGAGTGCTGGGAAGGACAAAAGACGATTCTACGAAATCTAGCTACTGAAGCTGAAAAGGCAGCAGGCAAAAGGACCTGAGGACACTTATCAGATAACCAAATCTCTATCCGGGAAGAGACCAACACAAGCGAAACCTATAAAAGACAGCCAAGGAAAGCCCATTACCAAGGAAGAAAAACAGATTAAACAATGGGCGGATCACTTCAAAGACTCTTGAACCGACCATCACCTGCAACCCGTCCAGAAATACCAACAACAGCGCGCACACAACTGCAAGTTGACACCAATCCTCCAACAAGAGCTGAAGTCTTGAACACAATCAAACTTCTGAAAGCTGGAAAACAGCCGGACCAGATGGAATACCCCCTGAAGCACTAAAAGCGGACCCAGAGACGACAGCAGACATGCTGACTCCATTATTGCAAAAGGTCTGGAAGGAGGGAAAGGTGCCTACTGACTGGAGGAAAGGTTACCTCGTGAAACTACCAAAGAAGGGCGACATAGGATTTTGCAAGAACTGGCAAGGAATCATGCTCCTGTCGACACCAAGTAAAATCCTGAGTCGCATCATCCTGGAGAGATTAAAGGACGCACTGGAGACAGAATTCCGACCAGAACAAGCTGGATTCAGGAAAGGCAAATCATGTTCTGACCAAATTGCAACTCTACGCATCATCATCACGGAACAAAGCATGGAATGGCAATCAAACCTCTACCTCAACTTTATAGACTTTGAGAAGGCCTTCGACAGAGTTGATCGTGAAGTAATTTGGAAATTACTCGAGTACTAAGGTGTACCCCAAATATTCATCAATCTTATTCAACAGCTGTACGACAACGGTGGCACATGTCGAGTGATCCACAATGGAAAACTCAGCAAGGCGTTTGGAGTAGACACAAGAGTCAGACAAGGGTGCTTATTATCACCAATGGGATTCCTCATTGTGGTGGACTGGATTATGCGTCAGGCAGTGGGAAAAGAGAAGACGGGAATATCCTAGACCGACGTGAAGAACCTAGAAGACCTGGATTTCGCGCGTGGATGACTTATGTTTGATTTCACACAAAATCGAAGACTTACAAGCGAAGACCAACAAACTGGTCGACAAAGCAGCCGGCGAAGACAGGACTCCAAGTGAACATAGACAAAACGGAGGTGATTAAAATAGCCAACCAACAACAACAGCAACATCCGGCGTCAATCACCATCAACGGGAGGGATTTGAAAGAGGTCACTTCATTCATTTATCTAGGGAGCATTGTCTCAACTACAGGCAGCAGAACGGACGAGGATGTCAAATCGAGCGGAATCGGGAAGGCGAGAAATACATTCATCAGCCTGAAATCAATCTGGAAATCTTCGTCACTCAGCATCAACAACAAAATTCAGTC